TAGGATAGCATGGTCACATGGTCATAAGTCATGTCACAACTAAAATGGTCAGAGGGCTCCCAAATCGATCCTGTAATCGTGTCTAATCTGCAGTATCATACATATTCCAATCATGGTCCCTGCCATGCTTCTATAGTGTCACCTACCAATGGGATGAATTCAGTTGATGCAGACCATCGTGCTTTTGAGATGAGTTTCTTTTGTTTTTCACCTTTTGTAATTAGCCACATGGCTTCAAATTCTTCAGATGCCATGACAATCTCATTCCAATGGTCTCCTTCATCTGAATGATTGTCCTGTCTAAGCCTTAATAAAGGAGCCTCTGTAAACTACTTAAGGATCTCTGATGGCATAGTGATTGTTACCTGTTGGGTTGCTAACTCCAAGGTCAGCAGTTCAAAACTATCAGCTGCTAAGCAGGAGAGTTGATGTCAAGCTTCAAACATAACCTTAACTTAGTTTATGGTTGTTTAAGAAGCTATTCATGTTCTGTTGTTGTTAAAAACATAAGCTCTGCCTGGTCAGAAGAGCCCTGGTGGTGTAGTGGTTACAAGTTGAGCTGCTCGCCACAAAGTCAGGAGTTCAGACCACTAGTTGTTCTGGGGGAGAAAGCTGAGGCTGTCTACACCCCAGGGCAGTTCTACCCTGTCCTAGACGGTTGCCATGAGTCTGAACTGACTTGATGGCAGTGAATTTGGATTTGGGCTTGGATGTCTTGTTGGACTTCATCATCAGCATCATTTTATTGAGATCGTTTGGGACACTTTCTTGAGAAGGGCATTTCAGCTGACCCTGGGGGAAGGGCCTAATTTATCCAGGCAAGGAAGTGGTAGGAGGGATCATACCCAGGAAGAGCAAGTGCTGGAAAGAGTTTAAGGAACTGAGAGATGATGAGTATGCTACTGGGACAGGTTAGGAGCTAGGCTGGAGAGATTGGCAGGGGCCTGGCCATAGAGAACTGGGTTGTTTTTCCGGTTTGTGTGGGTTTGCTCTGTGGGCGTTTGAATTGGAAGAGGCTAGTGATGGGAAGGAAGTTCATGGAGTTAAGAGACCACAGTTGTCACAGGGAGGAAGTTAGTGAAGAATAATAATGAAAGAGGAACTTGGAACTGAGAAGAGAGTTTCTGGGGCAGAATGCTAGGAGTGGGGGAAATCAACAAGGTGCCTTGGGGTGGTGGTGGGGCAGCCTGGTTTTCAAGACCAACAGGATAAAGTTGAAAGTGAAAACTGGCAAAAAGTCACCACGCTCATCCATTGCTCACATTGTCTCAGTCAGGGCATGTCTAAAGAAATTTTTTTTTGGCATTGTTACCTCCCTGTCCACTGCTTCTACTGCATAAATGTTTGTAAAATTGTAGACGCCTCTCTTTCCCTTCACATCCCATACCCAGGCCATTGACCTCCGATTGCTGCCTTTAAAATAAACTCAAGGGTCCAATCATTTTTCATCCTCTTCAGGGCTCTAAAAGCAAAAACCATCCATTTACACTGAGTAAGTTCTAACTCGTGGAAACACCATGTTTCAGAGGAGAATTGCCCCAAGGAGTGTGGGGGCTTTCAAAACGGAAATCTTTACAGAAGCAGATCACCAGGCCTTTCTTCTGCAGCACGGCTGTGTGGATCTTCACCACGAACCTTTCAGTCAGTGGTTGGGGGAAAGCCACTTTGCTCTGCCCAGGGCCCAGGATCAAGCGATCAAAAGGCACGTTGCGCTGGGTAAATTTGCTGAACAAGACCTCTTTGTTGTGGTGGCTGCTAGGTGTCATGGAGTCAGCTCCAGTCCATAGTGACCCTCTGCCCGACAGAATGAAACACTGCCTGGTCCTGCACTGTACTGAGAACTGCCGCTAGGTTTGAGCCCGGTGTTTGCCTCAAATCATCTTATTAAGAGCTAATACAGGCATCATACCGTTCCATGATTTAGTCGTATCAAACAGTGTTGTACAATCGCTACCATAATGTTTCAGAACATTGTCTTCCTTCTTGTACCCCCTGATATCAGTTCCCTCTTAACCCCACCGCCTGCGGTACACCACAGGAACTCTTATTCCAGTTATTTTCTCTATAGATTCATTCATACCGCCGCCCCCCCCAAAAACATAGAAAAATACACAACAGAGAGTCAAGAAGGCTACCAACGATAACAAAATACAACAGAGACAAACCCCAACATGAAAAAACAAAAAAACAAAACCACAGCAAATATTAAGAACCAGATCAAGCATTCAGTGTATCAAAAGGGAGATCAAATGACAAGGTTTTAACCCTTCAAGTCAGATTTATCATTTTAATCTACTAGCATCATCTCTCCAATACTCTCTGTCTGATAACCAAGTTATTTCCATCCTTCAATTAGGGTTAGAGGGAAATCATGAGGCATATTCCCTGGGTAGATCCTGTAAAGACATTTGGGGTTCCCACTGTCATCTGTAGCTCTCTGCTCACCAGAAACTAACAATCTGAGCTCTGATATGATTCCCTTCTTTGGGTTTGGATTATATAATTTACAATTCTTGGATCACAGATGTTGCTATGCTTCTACTTTGTGGTATTAATTGATGTCTTACTTAGATGACAGCTTGTTTGAAAACAAGGCATTAAGACCCCAGATGCTGTTCTACCTGGTACCAAACGCCATCTAACTTCTTGACCACATTTTGCTGTAGTACTCATATCTTCTATGTTTCTTTCATGAGGGCGAGTGTTGGGCAGGGCCATGTTGCAATAACGAATTGTTCTTAGATTGGAACTAGGAGTAAGTAGGAGCCTCAAATCCATTTTTTTTTGTTTTTGTTTTTAGTTGTTTGATAATTGAGGCCCTTTATTTTTTTCTTGAATGTATGTTTTCTATCTGCCTCTGGTTCACCTTAGGGACATCTTTGTTATTTTATGGTAGAGGATCTTATCTATTATCTCCCTGGAGCAAAAGGATTGCCAAGCACCATCTAATTTCTTCACCACACTTTGTGTTTGAACCCATTGTTAGAGCCACTATGCCAATCCATCTCCTTGAAGGCTTCTCTGTTTTTCACTGGCCCTCTACGTTACCAAGCATGATGCCCTTTTCCAGAGACTGGTCTCTCCTGACAACGTGTCCAAAAGTATATAAGAGGAAGTCTCACAGTCCTTGCCTCTAAAGAACATTCTGGCCGTAGTTCTTCCAAGACAGAAAGGTTTATCCTTTTAGCAGTGCTGTCAAGATTCTCTTTCAGCACCACGACTTAAATGCATGTATTCTTCAGTCTTCCTCTTCAGAGTACTGAAAAGTAAAGATGTGACTTTGAGGACTAGGGCGTGCCTAAGTCAAGCCATGGTATTTTCAGTTGCCTCATATGCATGTGAAAGTTGGCCGTTGAATAAGGAAGACCGAAGAAGAAGAATTGTTGCACTCGCGTTGTGCTCTAGAATATTGAACGCACCATGGACAGCTAACTGACAAACTGACCTGTTTTGGAAAAAGGACAGCCAGAGTGTCCTTTAGAGGTAAAGAGGCAAAACTCCATCTTACATGCTTTCGACACATTTTCAGGAGAGGCCAGTTCCTGGAAAAGGATATCATTCTTGATCAAGTAGAGGGGCAGGGTAGAAGAAGAAGGTTCTCTATGTGATGGATGGACCCAGTGGCTGCCACATTGTGCTCAAACATGGGAACAATTGTGGGATGGCGTAGAGCTGGGCGGAGTTTTGTTTTGTTGTGTATAGGGTCACTGAGTCAGAACCGACTTGATGGCAACTAACAAGAAGAGGGCTCCAGGCAGCGTCATCTCACTGTAGCAGCCTCCTCCCTGGCATCTTGTCTCGGTCTCTGTCTCATTCATTCCTCAACCAGTGGATGCTCAATCACACTGTGTTCCCCCTCTAGTCAAAATCCTCCCCTCACTCCCATCTATTTCAGATAAAAAGCTGGTCTTTGCGCATGTCATTCGGTTGTTGCTGAGTCTGCTCCATATGTTACTGTTCAGAACTGTGATTTGTAGAGTTTTCAGGGCTGTGATCTGTCAGAAGCTGATACTTCTTTCGAAGCATCTCTGGATGGGGTCAACCACAGACAGACCTTTTGGCTGATAGCCTGAGTGCCTAACCATTGGGACCTCCCAGGGACTCTGAGGTTGTACCTATGTGTTTCCAGGTCCTTCAACCTACCCTGTGATGCTGATGCTGCTGGTCCACGGACCACCCTTTCAGCAGTGAGGGATCGTCAAGATCCTTGGCTAAGCATGCTTAGCTGCCTTTACCTTCTCGGACCAGGTTCCCTTGAAACCCCTGTGATGCACCATGGCTGGTGTTGTCAGTTATCTTTGTGTTGACTTGTGTTCATGGTGACCCCATGTATTATAGAGGGGATTTTCATACTCTCAAGGATTACCAAGTCCCACTTGATAGTGGTTAGTTTGGGCTGCTAACTGCAAGGTCCACAGTTCAAGACCACCAGCTGCTCAGCAGAGAAAGACGATACTTTCTATTGCTGTAAAGTGTTACAGTCTTGGAAACCCACAGAAGCTGTGCTACCCTGTCCTATAGGATTGCCGTGAGCTAGAATGTTAGTGAGTGGTGGTTTCTTATTCAGTCGCATAGTAGTAACTATCTTTTCTTGGATTTCTAGTTTGAAGATTTAATTCATTCTTTGCGTAATATGGAGGAGCCCCTGGTGGTGTATTGGGTTATGGGGTGAGCTGAAAATGGCAAAGTCAGCCGTTCAAACGCATCAGATGCTGCTTGGGAGCAATATGAGGCCCGAGATTCCTGTGAAGAGTGGCGACCTCAGAAACCCACAGGGGCAGTCCTAATCTGTCCCTTGAGGTTGCTGTGAGTCCGAATCCACTTGGTGGCAGTGAGGGAAACATTCCTAATGACTGCTAGTCTCGGAAGTGGATCACCAGGCTTCTCTCCCAAGGTGCCTTTGAGTGGGTTTCAACTGCTGACCTTTCAACTAGTAGTTGAGTGCTTAACTGGTGACACCATCCTGACCTTGTCCAAACTCTTCCTCCCATGCTGCCCAGATGTGAATGAGTGTGAAAATACTTCGGTGTGCCCACCTTTTTCCACCTGCACCAACACCTTGGAGAGTTACTACTGCACCTGCAAACTGGGCTTCCTGACCAGCAATGGACAAATGAAATTCAAGGGCACAGAGGCAGAGTGTAAAGGTGAGTCCATCACCATTTGGAAGCCTTCAGCATTTGGTAGAGTGATCAGGGGGTATGTCAATTTATGTATCCACCACTGGTCGGCCAGGTTGTTCATCCTGTCAGGGTGGCTTGTGTGTTGCTGTGATGCTGGAAGCTAAGTTGCTGGTATTAAAAATACCAGCAGAGTCACCCAAAGTGAACAGAGTTCAGCAGAGCAGAATGGACAACAACAACAGACTCTAAAGATGGAGTCGGCTGTTCACTTGGGATGAATTAGTTACTGAAAACCTTCTGCATACCACAGAAACATTGTAAGATACAAAAGACCTCTTGCACACACAGAAACATTGTCTGATATGGAAGACCTCATGCACCACCCTGAGTTATTGTCAGATACTGAAGACCTCATGCCCAGCAGAACAAGTGTGAAGATGTTACAGGACCTGGCATTGTTTTGTTGTGCTGCACCTAAGGGTCCCTGTGAATCGGAATTGATTCCATGCCCCCTAACAATACCACCACCACCACCACCACCACCACCACC